TTGGCGAAAGTTATCGTAAGTTCCTTTTTAAAGATTTCTCTAAAATTTGGGTCAAATGTCTTGGATGTTTTCTCCCAATATATAAAGAGTTAGAAGGCATGTCACCCATTAAATTGAAGGCCTACGAGTCTAGTTTGCAACGCACAAAACCCCGTATCTAACCAACATCGAAGTAAAAAGTTATGAGGGTTTTACTATGGACTGCCGAGGCAGAATCCGGGTCGGGTAAAAAATGTGGTATGTCGGCTTACTCAACGTTTTAAGCCATGAAAACATTTCTTTTCACTTCCAAACCAGAAAGAAAGCTTAAGAGATGGTTCCTATGGAGTTCTTGCATGATGAAGGTTGTTTTTTGACGATTTCAGGCCTTTGCACAAGGCATAGATGATCGCCGACATCTACTGTATATGAGTGAGAGGGTCGAGAGAGAGAGACAGAAGAGAGCTAGGCCCACTGGTTCGCAGGGAGATTTTCAGGGTGGTCCCAGACCCCGATATTATATTAGGCTACCTAAACCTCCACCACAGCAGTTCCAGTTCAGGCCTTTGCACAAGGCATAGATGATCGCCGACATCTACTGTATATGAGTGAGAGGGTCGAGAGAGAGAGACAGAAGAGAGCTAGGCCCACTGGTTCGCAGGGAGATTTTCAGGGTGGTCCCAGACCCCGATATTATATTAGGCTACCTAAACCTCCACCACAGCAGTTCCAGGGGTAGTAGATTTGATCGTCAGGAACAGTCAGGCCCAGGTGAGGGTTCACGAGCATCAGGCTCACAGCAGTAGAGGGCTTCAGGCCAGGCTAGGACAGCCCCACCGTGTTGCGCTACTTGTGGTAGAATGTATTTCGGGAGGTGCAGACAGGGTTCCACAGGTTGTTATTCTTGTGGAAAGGAGGGGCATGGGTGGAGAAACTGCCTACCATAGGTTAGGGTGGTATAGGTCAGTTGACCAGGTCAGCAGTAGGTTCCTCCTCATCAGCACAGTCTACAGGGCGTGGAACCTAGACTTCAGCACGTAGAGGTAAAGGCGGAGGAAGAGAGGGATTATCTAGTTCTGGTAGTGGACAAAACCGTACATATTCATTAACCGGCCGACAGGACTCAGAGTCATCACCAGATGTTGTGATAGGTACATTGATTGTTTGCTCCTATTGTGTCTATGCTTTTATAGATCCTGGATCTACTATGTGTTATGTTACTCCATTTATTGAGGGGAAGTTATGTACAGTAGCAGAGTCATTAGATCGACCCTTTATTGTATCTACACAAGTTGGTGAGTCTATTATTTCCAGGAGAGTCTATCGAGGTTGCACGGTAGAAATTATCGACTGTCAGACCTCTATAGATCTCGTAGAGTTAGAGATTGTCGATTTCGATGTCATTATGGGTATGGATTGGTTAGCGTCTTGCTATGCTAATGTTGAGTGCCAAACAAAGATTGTTAGATTCCACTTTCCAAGAGAGGCAGTTCGGGAATGGAAAGGCGATAAAGCGACGCCAAAAGGTAGGTTTATTTCCTATCTTAAGGCGAGGAGGATGATTACTAAGGGTTGTATTTATCATCTTGTTCAAGTTCCTGATATAGATGTAGAACCACCAACTCTTCAGTCTATTCCGGTAATTAATGAGTTTCTAGATCTATTTCCAGACGAGCTCCCTGGTATCCCTCCAGAATGGGAAATTGATATTGCTATCGATATGCTACCAAGTACACAACCCATATATATCCCTCCTTATAGAATGGCTCTTGCTTGAGCTAAAGGAGTTGAAGGATCAGCTGAAAGACTTGCTGGATAAAGGCTTTATTAGGCCTAGTGCTTCACCATGGGGGTGCGCCAGTGTTGTTCGTAAGGAAGAAAGATGACTCACTAAGAATGTGTATCGATTACCGACAGCTGAATAAGGCAACTATAAAGAATAAGTATCCCCTTCCGAGGATAGATGACTTGTTTGATCAGTTACAAGGTGCTAAGTGTTTCTCTAAGGTTGATTTAAGATCAGGGTACCACTAGATACGAGTTCGGGAGAAAGACGTTCCAAAGACAACTTTTTAGAACCAGATATGGACACTTTGAGTTCTTGGTAATGTCTTTTGGATTAACTAATGTCCCAACAGTGTTCATGGACCTGATGAATAGTATATTCAGGCCGTATCTAAACTTGTTTGTGATTGTATTTATTGATGATATTTTGGTGTATTCACGTTCAAAAGTTGAGCATACAAATCATCTGCGAGCAGTCCTTCAGGTTATTTGAGACCGAGAACTTTATGCAAAGTTTTCTAAGTGTGAGTTCTGGTTAGACTCTGTAGCTTTCTTAGGCCATATTGTATCAGATGCAGGCAATACGGTTGATACACAAAAGATTGAGGCCGTAAACGCTTGGCCCAGACCCATGACTCCGCCTGAGGTTCATAATTTCTTAGGTTTAGCTGGAGTACTGCATAAGGTTTGTAGAGGGGTTTTCTTCAATTTCAGCCCTATTAACGAAGCTGACTAAAAAAACAGCTAAGTTCCAGTGGATTGAGGCTTGCGAGCATAGTTTCCAGGAGCTAAAGGACATGTTGACATCAGCACCAGTTCCTGCATTGCCAGAGGGTTCAGAAGGCTATGCGGTGTATTGTGATGCTTCTGGTGTTGGGTTGGGATGTGTCTAATATAACATGGTTAGGTTATCACATATGCTTCAAGGCAGTTGAGAAAACATGAGAAGAACTATCCGACCCACGATTTAGAGTTGGCTACAATTGTGCATGCATTAAAGATCCGGAGACACTATTTGTATGGCGTTCATGTTGACATCTTCACAGATCATTAAAAGCCTTCAATATATCTTTTGACAGAAGGAGTTAAATCTACGACAACGTCCATGGCTTGAGTTACTGAAAGACTACGACATGGACATTTTATATCGTCCAGGAAAGACGAATGTGGTAGCTGATGCCCTCAGTCGAAGATCTATGGGTAGTTTATCATATTTAGGTGTTGAGAAGCATGAGCTAGCATGAGAGCTTCATCAGTTAGCTAGCTTGGGAGTCAGATTGTTAGAGTCAGAAGATAGTGGGGTAACAATTCAGGACACAACCGTATCATCTCTAGTTGTAGAAGTAAAATCATGGCAACAAGAGGATCCTAGCTTAGAGCAGCTCAGAGCCAAGGCTCAGAATCAACATACTTTAGCATTTGATATAGCAGGAGATAGAATCCTTAGATATATTGGTCGATTGTGTGTTTCGAGTGTTGCAGGGCTTCCGCATCGAATTATGGAAGAGGCACATAATTCCCGTTATTCTATTCACCCTGGTTCGACGAAGATGTACCATGATATTAAGGAGATCTATTGGTGGCACGGGATGAAGAAGGACATTGTTGAGTTTGTGGCATAGTGTCCTAACTGCCAACAGGTGAATGTTGAGCACCAAAAGCCCGCTGGGCTAGTTCAGGAGATAGTCATTCCTTTGTGGAAGTGGGAAGCAATTAATATGGATTTTATTACAGGGTTACCTCGATCGCGTCGCAAATTTGACTCTATTTCGGTAATTGTTGATAGACTAACCAAATCGGCCCATTTCTTACCAGTCAGGGCTACTATTACGGCCGAAGACTATGCAGGGCACTATATTAGGGAGATTATTAGGCTACATGGTGTCCTAGTATCTATTATCTCTGATAGAGGAGCACAATTCACCGCCAACTTTTGGAAGTCCTTTCAGAAAGGACTGGGAACACAAGTTAATCTTAGTACAACCTTTCACCCTCAGACAGATGGTCAGGTTGAGTGCACAATTTTGATGCTCGAGGATATGTTACGGGCGTGCGTGCTAGACTTCAAGGGAAGTTGGGATGAACACTTGCCTATTATTGAGTTCGCATACAATAATAGTTATCATTCCAGCATCGGGATGGCATCTTATGAGGCTTTGTGTGGGCGAGATTGTAGATCCCCCATTGGATGGTTCGAGGTAGGTGAGTTAGGGTTGATTGGACCCGACTTAGTACAACAGACAGTGGAGCAGGTCAAGCTCATACAGGAGAGGTTGCTAACAGCTCAAAGCTGATAGAAGTCATACTCAGATGTGCGACGAAGGGACTTAGAGTTTAGAGTCGATGACTGGGTATTCTTAAAAGTCTCACCTATGAAGGGTGTTATGCGATTTGGCAAAAAGGGAAAGCTTAGTCCAAGATTTATTGGGCCAT